ATGGCAGGAAATGGAGGTCCAGTGATTAAAAACTGGAAATATGCACCATGAAGCACACTAATCCCTGAAAAATAGTAATGGTCACACCTTAGTGAATTAAACAGGCACAGCTTTAACCTAACTACTACATTAGTAGCTACCAATTTATTCTACTCACTAAACACTATGTAAGATCGTAAAAGAAATTTAATACGGGAAAAGGACTTCCTTTGTCTCAGGGCTGTGGAGGCAGTGCACAGAGTAGTTAAGAGCTCAGACTTTCAATCCTCCACCTGTCACTTAGAAGCTGAACACATCACCTATTTCTCTAGGTTTTAATTTCTTCATTTGCAGATCACTGAAGGAACATGTGTGCACCATGTTTAACACAGTGCTGGCACTAAGCACCACACAAGCACCAGCATTTACCGACCAGTCCTGCATCACGGCAGCTGCACTGACAGACGAGAGCAACGGCAGCTCACAGAGATTCGGACACGTCTCCACCCTCTTCTTAGAAAGTTCAACAGTCAGACGCTAAGCTTCCTTGGAAAAACTAGCAATGGCGCCTCATCTCTACCACAGAAACACTATCCAAAGACTACACCGCAGCTTCACAACTGCCTCAAGGGCAGACGGTACTCCACAGCCACAGACAACACACGGTGGGGTGAGAGCAGTGGCTTCGCCCGAGTCTGCTCTAATGGATTCTAAGCCTCGCCCACACGCAAAGTGTAACAATTGGTATTTTTTTGAACTATTAAATAAAATTAGACCTAAAATCCATCAAAGAATGAAATAAAGCCAGTCTTGGTACTTTTAGGAAACGGGAGGCTGAGGCAGATGAACTGCTTCAAGCTTTGAGGTCAGTCTGGTCTACATAATGTCTTCCAAGACATTAGGCCTGTGGCCTACAGAGAGAGGCCCCACCTCAAGAGAAATAGTCACAGATCCCTATATCTAAATATGTACGGCTCTAGCATATGGCCACTGGCTGCTGACATAGGTTGTTCAACTTCACAATGGTGCAGAAGTGTGCCATGGACCACACTGCTTTACTTCAGGACAGCACTTAACAAATTACAGAAGACGCACAACACTTAATGATGTAACAGGACTGGCTTAGGTGATGTGGCCAACTGCAGGCTAAGTATGTGTTCTCAGCATGTTCCAGAAGGGTGTAGCCCAGCAGGGTGCTCAGGAAATCAGGTGGAATAAATGCTTTCTTGACAGCTATATTTCAGTTGATGACGTGTTTACTGAGCAGAACCCCAGTGAGCCAAGCAGCTGTGTAGTTCCTCCACCATCTCTAACACTCAGAAGCACTGCTACCAGATTTTTACCACGGTGAGCAACCTCAAGTAGTATACCTACACATATACATCCACCTCCACTTGCATCACAAATAAGTTAGATGAACCAATGAGCTGTTTCATGACGTTTACACTGGGAAAGATAAAGCACAGGAGTGAGCTTGTCTTCACATAGCTGAAGGACTCTTGTAAGCTATAAGCGTCTAAAAAAATTTAGTGTATCTGTGCATGATGTATGTATGTGAATACAGACACACATGTGCCCCAGTACACATGTTGAGGTCAGAGGACAACTATTTGAATTAGTTCTCTCCTTCTACCGATGGTTCTGGAGATGGAACTCAGGTTGTCAGGCTTGTGCTGCTGAGCCATCCCACCTGCCCTAAAACCTTTAATTCTCTGTCAAATGAAAACATGGAGATAAAAAAGGCAAGAGTCTACTTGAACACGACAAAGCACCTCCGTTAACAACCCATCTGAACACAATGCTTCTCATTGTGACACCAGGCTGGGAAGGGCCAGGATCACCCTTACTGTAGGTGAAACACAATGACTTGCCGACTTGGTCAAAGCAGCAGCCCCCTCTGCCTTCCTACCCACATTTCTATGTTACAAATGAAAAACAAGAATAACATTGCTTAAAATTCACTAAAATAGCTAGATCTTCAAGGTCCCAACCTCACCCCTGCAGGACACTGCTATGTAGACCAGCCTGTCCCCAAACTTGCTATCCATCCTGTATCAGCCTTGCAAGTGCTGAGATTAGAGACGGGCCACTATATTTGGTTAAATGGATCTTTAATATCCAGACTTAAGTATTTTATCTGTTATTTTTATTTTATGTGTATGAGTGTATTGTCTGCATGAGTCAACCCTCCAGCCCCAATATCCAGATTTAAAAGAACTGCAGTCAGAAAATATGTTTTCATTAGAGGAAGAGGAAGATGAAAAAATGCAGGCTAATTTAGAGTAGAAATGGTTATCACTGGCCATGGGCTCTTATTTCTCCCCTTTTTCTGCTTTCCTAGATTTTAAAGACGATCCCACTATGACCAGCTTTCTTCCTTCAGAAGTACAATGGGAACTCTAACCTGTCCCCCCGCTGGAAGCTGTGAAATGCTTCCATCAAGACACTGCACGCTCACGACACTTGTGCCCAAAATCCTTCACAAGTTTTTTGGGGGTCTGGAAAGATGGCTCAGTGGTTAAGTGCAGACGACCCAGGTTCAGTTGCCAGCACCCACCCATATGGTGGCTAACAAGCATCCATAAGTCTGGTTCCAGAGAACAAGACACCGTCTTCTGTTCTCCATGGGCACTGTACAGACATGGTGCACTTACACAGATGCAGCAAAACACTCAAACACATAAAATAAAAATAAATTTTTAAAAAAGTTTGCTTCCATCCAGAATTTGCAGACCCATCATGGTCTCACTCATATCTTGGTCTCACTGCTGCAGACAAGCTCTGGTAGTATAAAATAGCACAGCCATCTCTGAATCCTTCACTGCACAGCCCTGAACAGTGTATCTTTGATGCCAGGGACATTCAGGAAGGATGGAAGGAAAGAAGGAAGGAAGGAGAGCGGGAAAGGGAGGGGAAGGAGAGAGGGAAGGAGAGAGGGGAGGGGGAGGGGAGGGAAGGGAAGGGAAGGGAAGGAAAAGGCGAGGGAGCTAATGTGTAAGGAGATGCAGCTTCAAAAGGCCAACCTAACTGTGAATTTAATTTCATCAGTTGGTAAACATTTTGAAAATTTTCATTTATTTTGTTTATTTTGTGTGGATGTGTGTGAGTGCAGGTACATGTAATATCAGTGCATATGTCAAAGTGAATGAACAATTCTTAAAAAGTGGTTCTCTGAGGACAGAACTCAGGTCACTGACACACCTGCAAGCAAGTGCCTCTACCTGGATTGAAATCTACTGGCCTGTAAAAACTGTAAAACATGGGTGTGGTGGTGCATGCTTTTAGGCAGGCAGATCTCTGTAAGTTCAAGGCCAGCCTAGTCTACATAATGAGTTCCTGGTCAGCTGGGGCTACAGGAAGACCCTGTCTCAAGGAGACAAAAAAAAAAAAGGAAAAAAAAACCCCAAAACCAAAACAAGAAAACAAAACCCCAAACCCAACAACAACAAAATACAGCAAAAACTCTCTAACGTCTCTATGATGATAATTTTCAAACTATCACTTTTAGATGCTCCAGGAACCTGGCAGAAGTGAGAAGCACTTTACACTTGGAACAGTCTTACAGCAGCAGTGTGCTCTGTTAAACTGTACGAACAACAGACATCGATTTGGTCACTGACAACAGAGAAGCAGGTGCAGCATTTGAGTTGTGAATGTAGTCCAGGTACCTGTCATTAAATTGCGTGCGTGCATGCGTACGTGTGTGCGTGAGTGCGTGCGTGCGTGCGTGCGTGCGTGCGTGTGTGACTTCTAAAAAAGTATCTGGAACACTTGAACAAATGATAAACATCATTTTAAGACAATTAACTGTAAAGTTACTGAGAATCCAAATACCTGAGTTCTTTGAAAAGCTCAACACTCTGGTGAGTCATCAAGTTGTTTAGCAGCCAGTCTAGGCACCTGAAATTAAAGTGTGATTATCTCCTACATATTAGGTATTTACAACTTATTGAGTAGGTCTTATAGTTAAAAAGAAAACAGAGTGTTAATTGTGCTAGGCCATGCTCAAATTCTTACCTCAGTGATTCGAAATGTAGTATTGCTTTTGTCAGTAGTTAAGGGACCATTTTCTTTATATTAATAATACCACTTCCAATTAAGAAAACTTCATTTCAATGATGTAATAGTTCATAAGGAATTACTTATTTCTATAACCTTCTTTTAACATCCAAACGAGATCTGCAATTCCAAACAGTTAAAACTGCCAGCATCTGCACTAATGTAACATCTGTGCTGCCTACTCCTTAAATAGTGACCACAGGAGCTGGAGAGATGACTCAGTGGTTAACAGTACTGGCTCCTCTTGCAGAGGACCCAGGTTCAATTCCCAGCATCTACATGGGGGCTAACAATCATTTGCAACTCCAGTTTCAGGCGAATCACTTATACACACGCAGGCAATACACTCATACACATAAAATAAAATTAAAAAATAGTGATCATAGTTGGATAAGGATATTTCACCCACCTGTGATCACTGACCAGGCCAATGCTTCAGAGGAATTTATTAATTAGTTCAAAAGAAAAAAGGGCTATTATTCTATCTTCCCTCATAATTGTCTCTTACTACATTCTCTTAAGAAATCAAAGCAACCAAATTCCAGAAGTAGGATCGAAGAAAAACAGAAAAGCAACTCACTTTTTCATTACAGAATCTAATCTATAGGTCCCTGATGATGTGTAACAGCCACACACAGTTTTCACATTCATTGTTTCCTTCACTGTCTCACCACACTGTTGGGTTAAACCATCCTGTAAATATAAATAAGCACTGGAAAGGCCTGTTTCTTGTGGGAAAATTAGCTCTCACCTGTGCCTTCACATATTAAAAAGTAAAAAAAAAAAAAACAAGGAATGGAAGGAAGGAAGGAAGGAAGGAAGGAAGGAAGGAAGGAAGGAAGGAAGGAAGGAAGGAAGGCATTAAGTGCAGCAAACTTACGCTTTTTTCTAAGTTCAATAAAAATACTGAAAAGAAAAATCATTCAACAAGTGTCCACTACACACACGGAACTGAAAACGAAGATGGCGGAAGAGGCGGGAGGAGGAGCACCACAGACCTCATTTTCTGTTTTCTGCTCTAGGAACTCTGCAAATTGTTCTGGCAGCATTTTATCTGTTTTTCCTGTTCTTATTAAATTAAGAACTCTACACAGCTAATCAAGTGATAGAGAACACAGCTAATCAAGTGATAGAGATAAATAATACAAATGCATGGAAGAGTGATTACCATTTTAAAGACCCATCAACATGCCTCAAAAACAAGCATGATACAGTTTTAAACACCTTACATTAAACTTTTAATCTAAAATATTTATATAGGTTTCAAATGAACTACCTTCAATGTACTTCAATGTATAGAAAAATAGCCATTTTTTATTCATTTCTGAAATATATTCATGCAACTATATTATTAGAGTTAGTAAGTTTTAAAAATAAGGCAGATAGTAGATTCAGAAAGCCAAAAGGATCAAAGTTAGTGTGCTGGACAGCTTTAGTGTCAACTCGACACATCTGGGTTGAGGGAGCCTCAACTGGGGAATTGCCTCCATTGGGTTGGCCTGTGGCCACGTCTGTGGGGCATTTTCTTGATTGCTGAGTGATGTGGGAGGGCCCGGCCCACTGTGGGTAGTGCCACCCCTGGGCAGGTGGGCCTGTGTTGGATAAGAGAGCAAGCCAGTAAGCTGAGTTCCTCTACGGCCTGTGCTCCAGCTACAGCTTCCAGGTTCCTGCTCCAAGTTCCTACTTTGGGCTCCCTTATGAACTGCGACCTGGGAGAGGTAAGCTGAATCAACCCTTTCCTCCCCAAGTTGGTACTGGTCAGAGTATTTTGTCACATCAATGAAGAACTAACTAGGACAGTTAGAAATAAAATACAGACGTTAGAAATTAAGTATTAGAAAAGATCAAGATATTCTAAAAATCAATCACAATTTAGCAAGCTAATAACTAACACCTCAAATGGACCAGCATGTAAAACAACAAAAAGAAACTTCTTTTGGGGACAGGGACTATGTGCCCTGGCTATGTAGACCAGGCTGGCCTCGACTCACAGATTCACCTGCCTCTGCTGGGATTACTGGCCTGTGTGACCGTGCCCGGATAAGAAATCTTTTTAAATTAAAACAGAGTACTGACTCACTGATTTTTAAACTTACTTCAAGTTACTTTGGACCCTTCCTCCCTTTCCTCCTAACACCTCAATTTCACCACACCCAGAAGAACATTCATACTACCTTCACCTAAGCGGCATTTGGATGACCCGACCATAGTATGTTTCTGTCTCTAAAGCTAGTCTCATCTTTTCATCAACCCATCCTTCACACAGTCCCTCAAATATTCTTTCACTGTTAATGTGCGGTGCTGGGAATCAAACCTCGGACTTTGCACATATCAGGCAAGTCCTCTATGACAGAGTTGTACCCTCAACCCCCTGGAGCAGTCTCTGTAAAGCGTAACTATCTTTCCCTGACTAAAATCTTCCAGAGGTAAAGTATAAGCTTTGCAATGCACTGAGGAACTTTCGTGATCTGGCTTTTGGCCTCTTTCCTGACAATCTTTTATTTTTAATTAAAATTTGATTTGTTTATTTTGCATGCATGTGGGAACAATTTTTAGGAAATCAGTTCTCTCCTCCTACTATGTGTGTCTTGGGAATCAAACTCAGGTTTGCAGGCTTGGTGGCAGGTGCCTTTACTCACTGAGTTATCGTGACAGCCCTATAATTCTTGTACTGATGTTCAAGACATGGTCCTTTTAATTCTGACCCTCCTTCCTCTCACATTTCTTACTGTTCCAAGTCTGAAATGTTCTTCCTACCCCTTCTCTTCACACTGTGCAAGATAAACATACTTTCAAATTCAATTTAGAAACTAACTTCCGTCTATGATGACATCAGGTTAGAGTGGCTTGTCCCTTCTTCACGGGTCCATTAAATCTCACAAGATGTTTATGTCACACTCAACATGGGCAGCTCTGTTCTGACCTTTGGGTTTGTGTATTGACCCTCTCATCCCAACCCTCAATACACTGTCAGCTACTTTGAGGCAGGTGGCATATTTAATTAACTGCCACATAGGAACTACACAAGTGAGGGACTACATCTTCATTTACCTCTCTCTGGCTCTACGTCTCAAATGACACACACTGTTCAACATGCTCAATGTACTTTCATTGAACGCCATCCTACCAGTGATTAAAAAGCACACATATGGTGTACACATGACTTCACAATTAAGAAGCTTAAATAACAGCACTCAGTGTTTCTCTGACCAACAAACTAATAACTGATCACAAACTACCTGCTTTAGCAGTGAAGTCACTGATGACAGAAATCTGCAAGCACACTCGACAGTCAACTTTCCCACATTTCAGCAAGCTAAAGCAGCTCTACAGAAAGTCTCCCCCACTTCACACAGCTATCAGAGCCCTCAGTTGTAACGGGTTTTAAGCATCTTAAATTATTTCTAACAAACAGTACATTTACCTTCATTTTTATTTTAAAAATTGCAAAAGCTGAACTTTACTTTTGTTTCTGGAGGTAAGCACAGAAACACAGAGCACTGCAATTTTTAAAAATAAGATGTCAACTTACCAACGGCAGCATACAAGCTGCTGCCAAAATGGCAACAACTCAACTGGGTTTTATCAAGACGTCATCTCGATACAGAGATCCAAAGGCAACTTGCAGTGCTGAAAGCAAAGTACACAGGCAAAATAAAATGTTACCAAAGGGTCAGCAAGGACCTTCGTCTAAATCAGGTATGTCCATAAAGAGTAAAGGAAGCATCACTAACTAAAATGGCAGTGACTGTCACTGCCTGATGGAATTGATACCGTAACTGATTTTAATTACTCTATCAATTCCAGCTGCATTCTTCTCTAATGTTCAGAATTAAGACCTCCTCGGAAGAAGTTCCAGAAGGTACTGCTGAGTAGACCACTTGTAAAGTGTAGGTACACACAGTCCATCACTCCACGATAATCTTTTCTTTAGGGGAGGAATAGTTTAAGCTGGCATCAAACTCATAGATCAAACTCCTCTTGCCTCAGTTTCCTCAGTGCTGGGGTAACAGACGTGCACCACCAGGTCCGTTACCATGGTAATCTTAACTCAGTGCTTCACCACTGAGGTGTGGTAAGCTCCTGGCCATGTCCTGCCACATGCATGTCTGATCCCTACAGCCATCTGAGTCTGGCCACCCTCCTCCACTGCCACTCGCTGATGTTCCTTACAGTCTGCTCTACAACTGTTTTCTCTCTGCCTACGCAGTGGAGCTGGGCCCTCCACCAAGTCTGTGAAATAAAACAAGAAGGAGCTGTGGACTATGAACAGGAGAGGATGTTTACAGGAGGCTCACTGGGCTGCATGAGACTCAAACACAATCCCTAACCTCCCCAGCCCCCTGCTTTGAAACAGCCCTGCCTGAATGATTCATGTGCTGTCCCCAAAAGGATCTTCACACATCATTTATTTTTATTTTTGGTTCTAGGATCAAACCCAGGCCTCCTGCAGGGTAGGCAACACTCTTAACAATTACATCCCCTGTCCCTGTACATGCTTTCTTTTAAAAAAAAAAGTGGTCAAACTTCTTATTCCCTCTCCTTACATCCTTCACAGCCCAGGCTCACAAGACATGTAAACAGACTGGGTTCACGTAACGATAAACAAGAGGGACAGAACTGATAAACCATGGAGTGAATTAATATAAAATCCACCTTCGGTATAAAATGAAACTTTGTTCCTAGCCTAAGGGCTAGAATATTTGTTTTTGATCAAAAGAATAAAAAAGTTATGTTTTTGTGATCTTTGTACATTGTAGGTATAGGGGCCATACCTTCCACATCAATATTCTGGTCAGGAATCTCCAGTTCAA